CACTGAAGTGAGTGGAAATAGTGCAATCTCTGAAAATAGTCAGCCGATGGTTTAAGGCCTGTCACAGACCTGTGCCGCGTGTCCGAGTCACATCTGACACACGCAGAGCGACTCTGCTTCCTGCAGGCAGCTTCTGTTTACAATGGGTGGTGGAGGGTGTGGTTGTGTGGGGGGGGGGGGGGGTATGGGGTGGTGGTGTTGGGGAGGGGAGAGAAGTGGGGAATGCCCCAAATAATTACCCTGTGTTATTTTTCTGGCGTTCTACGGTTCTCGGCTGCCAGCTCCCACCAGAACAGGAACTGGGCTCAAGCATGGCTAGCGACCTCCTCAACTCTCAACCCTCATCTCTTCTTCCCACACCCCCCCCCCCACCCCCACACTCTCTACCCTCCTCCCGTCCCCTCCCCATCCCACATTTTTCACCCACAAAACATACAGTCAATTCGCTTCACAGTATTGTTCTGTGAAGAGCTTTGAGACGTCTCGAAGACATGGCAAGGAGCTATATATAAAATGCAAGTGCTATTGTTATTATTAATATTATTATTAACAGACTCCCTCGGGAGTGGGCGGAAGCAGAAATTGGTGTTTGGATCAAGAACAAATTAGATCACTTCTGCTAGAAAATAATAACTCGGGATAGTATGGTATATAGCTTGGGACACAACATGTCGAGCGACTGCCAGGATGATGGAAGGCCAACTAGACCTTGGTCTTCTTTTGCCAAGCAGATTCTTATGCTGTCATTATCCACCCCCCCCCCACCACCCCACCACCAGACATGACCACAATCACTGCCAAAGCACAAGTGCTGTGACTATTAACAGAACAGAGCGTGGGATACAAAGAACCTCATCTCTCTCAAATCCTGTAGATCAGGTTGATTTAAATATATGCTGCACATCACAGTGGCTTTAATGGAACCACAAAGAATGACGTTGGTGTGTTAATTATCAGCCACATAGTAGCACATTTCTCAAGCTGTTCGGAATTACCAGGGTTTCTTTGGGTTTTTGACGATTTAAATAGGAATTATTTCATAGAATCATAGAATGTTACGGCACAGAAGGAGGCCATTCGGCCCATCGAGTCTGTGCCGGCTCTTTGACAGAGCAACTGACTTTTATTAACCTCACTCACCAGCTTTCTCCCCATAACCCTGCAAACCCGTCTTCTCCAGATACCTATCCAGTTCTCTCTTAAAGGCTGTTATCGAATCGGACTTCACTGACCTTTCGGGCGGATCATTCCAAATTCTAACAACTCGCTGAGTGAAAAAATGTCTTCTAACCTCCCCTCTGCCTCTTTTGGTAGATATCTTAAGACTGTGACCACGGGTCACAGACACACCTACCAGCGGAAACAGCTTTTCCTGTTGAAACCTTTCATGATCTTGAAGACCTCTATCAGGTCTCCGCATAACCTTCTCTGCTCTAATGAAAAAAGTCCTAACTTCTCCAGCCTGTCCTCATAGCTAAGGTTCCCCATTCCTGGTATCATTCTCATGAATCTCCTCTGCACCCTTTCCAGTGCCTTAATATCCTTCCTGAGGTAAGGTGCCCAGAACTGGACGCAGTACTCCAGCTGAGGCCTAAACAGTGTTTTGTACAGATTAAGCATAACCCCTACTCTTATACTCTATGCCCCTACTAATAAAGCTCAGTACACCAAATGCCCTTTTTACTGCCCTATCTACCTGCTCTGCCACCTTCAATGAATCGCTTACTTGAACGCCCAGGTCTCTCTGTACGTTCACCCCCCTTAAGATTGAGCTCCCAAGCCTATATTGCCTCCTATCATTTTTCCTCCCTAAGTGTATCACCTCACACTGATCTACATTGAAACCCATCTGCCATATGTCAGCCCATTCCACCATTCTGTGTATGTCTGCTTGCAGTTGGTTACAATCCTCCTCACTATTTACTACCCTACCTAACTTGGTATCATCTGCAAACTTGGAAATAGCGCTCTCTATGCCCAGGTCCAGATCATTAATATATATTAGAAAGAGCAGTGGTCCCAATACCGATCTCTGGGGGACACCGCTGCACACCTCCTCGTGGTAGGTCTTTAATTCCATTTCCTCTTTGGTTACAATTAGTGTTCGACTTTTCCGATTTTGTGGAGTCCTGTAGTGTAGTAGTTGGAGCACTCGCCTCGCAAGCGAGAGGACCCGGGCTTGATTATTAAAGAATTAAGCAGAAGGGAAGAGCGAGGGAGGGGAGATGTTTCACATGTTCCTGAGGTCCTAGGAAAGAACGATTCAGAGTCAGAGTGAGAGACGGTGCAACGAGACTTGATTTCAAAACAAAAGAGAGGTTGCAGGGCAAGGGAAGACCATGTAGATTAGAGTGCAGAGTTTGACAGCAGCTGAGTTGCAATGCCTGGTCCCATCTTAATGGGGACACACTCAATTCAACATTACAGAACTCAAAAACAACAGCAATTTGCACTTATTTTAGCGCCCTCCTCCACACGGGATAGCATCTCGGAGCGCATCTCAGTGTTCTGCCTTCAAGAGGAACTGAAATCAATTAATCCAGTTTAACTTTCACAGCCCGGTAAGATTCATCAGCAAATAGAGTAAGAGGAAGGAAAAGCTGTGGGAGACATCAATGCAAGTCCGTGTGTGGTTTCCAACCAGGAAACACCTGCCAACTGGACAGTCACTTGCATAAGACCTCAGCTGAGGCTTTTCTCTCTCTGGTTAGACCAGAAAGGACTATGGCTATCTGTGGAGTCCTGTAGCGTATTGGTTAGAGCGCTTGCCTTGAAAGGACCTGCGTTCGATTCGATTCCCGGGCAGGGCAAACCCATAGGCAGGTTTCCTCGCTCCACACACACGCCTCTGTTTATGTAGCAGTAAGTAGGAACCCGGTTGTTAGTTGATTGGCGGATCACTTTTCCAGGAGTAATAATTCCTTCAAAAATAAATAATAATAAAAAATTGATCACTCAATCTTTGACTGGTTGTGGAACACTGCTGTGCGCAATTGGCTGCCGTGTTTTGCCCACAAAATAAACAGTCAATCCAGTTTACAGTCCATCCTGTGAAACACTTTGACACGTCTCAAAGACATGATAAGGTGCTATATCAAATGCAACGACTAGCAATAGTTCTATTATTATTATTATTATTATTATTATTATTATTATTATGAGTGTTCCAGGTTTAACCTGATGGGATTTAACAGTGTGACAGGCCCCCTCAAAAGCATTTTTGTAACAAAATAAAATTAAGGTCCCGTCGTGGGCTGTACGACTCAGTTGAACACGTGCAGAATATACTGTAATATTTTGTGGGCGAAACGCAGCAGCCAATTGCACACAGCAGCGTACCACAAACAGACATGGATTAAGTGACCCAATTTGAAGATGTTCCATATGTTCCTGAGGTCCTGGGAAAGAACGATTCACAGTCAGAGTGAGAGATGGTGCAACGAGACTTGATTTCAAGACAAAAGAGAGTTTGCAGAGCAGAGCAAAACCATATAGATAGGTCTCAGAGTTTGAAGCAGCTGAGTTGCAATGTCTGGTTCCATCTTAATGGGGCAAGCCTGAAGCGGTGGTTGAATCAGATAGTTTAGATGCATTCCCTTTACATGAAGGAGAAGGGAATAGAGGGTTATGGAGGGGAGTAAGGAATGGATGAAGACTTGTGTGGTGTATAAACACTGGCACAGACTGGTTGGGCTGAATGACCTGTTTCTGCGTTGTTCTGTGTTGGTGGAAGATTATACAGGATGACCTTTTTATATAGTTGATCAGATGATCGCTTTCTGGGGATAGTAATCCCTTAAAAGATTAATAATGTGGTCACTCAATCCACGACTGTTTGTGGAGCACTGCTGTAGCATGATTGGCTGCAGTGTTTCGACCACAAAAATACACAGTCAACAACAACAACAACAAATTACATTTGTATAGCGCCTTTTATGTCGGGAGGACGTCCCAAGCTCCTGGTCAATTCACTTTAGATATTCTGTGAAGCATTTTGAGTCATTTATCTCAATGACGTGATAAGGCTCCATACCTAACACAAGGATTATTATTGTTACATTATGATTATTATCATGATTCTTTGTCACGTTTATATCAATTGCAAACGGATTCCTATTATGTTTGTGGTAAATGGGCGCGTTGTGGAAGGTCACGCATTTTAGCCTTGCTCTTTCCAATCCACAGAACAAAAGTTGGCCTCGGTTCAGCGATCTTACTCAGAAAGAAATAGAGCACGCAAACACACCGGCACAGGAAGTGGAAATTTCGCACTGTCCTTTCACATCAGGGAGTTTCTATGCGGGTTTTAATCTATTTCATATTTAATCGAAAGATGTGAGAGATACACATTTCTTATTCAAAAATCTACATGGATAGGAAATAACACAAATTAGTCCCTGTGGTGCGTGTGTGTGTGTGTGTGTGTGAGACACGGGTTTAGAGTTGCAAAGGGTAATTTCAGGACAGACGCCAGGAAGTTTTTTTTTTAACCCAGAAGGTAAGCGAACAACTGAAACAGGGTTACCAGGAAGGGTGGTTGAGGTCAGGACGTTGGGACTCATTTTAACAAAAAGCTCAACAGCAACAACAACAACAACTTGTATTTATAAAGCGCCCCTCACGCAGGGTAGTGTCCCAGAACGAGGCTGTGAGGGGAAAGCAATAATACTACTAATAATACTACTAATCCTTGCATTTGATATAGCGCCATATCACGTCTTCGAGACGTCTCAAAGCGCTTCACAGCATACACTGTAAAGTGAATTGACTATATTTTGTGGGCGGTGAATCGCGGCAGACAATTGCGCACAGCAGTGTCCCACAAACAGTCGTGGATTGAGTGACCAATTTATTATTATGATATCAAGAGAGTTGAAGGGCCTTCTTCATCCGAACCAATCATGTGATGTGAGGGTGTGTGTGTGTTTCATGGTCATCCCCAGCGTAAAGCAGTAGTGGTTTTGTAACAAATCTGTCTTTCTTTCTTGCTTGTGTTACAGCGTGCCAGTAGCTTTGGGACCTTTGACCGATTCAGGCATCAGCCTCACTCAATCAAACCAGAGGAGACGGTGGAGAGTAGCGTAAGTGTTTCACTGACGTCACCGTCACCGTGAAGGGCATAAGAACATAGGAAATCTTTCTTGTCCAGCTTCGCAAACTACCACCTTCATTAGCTTGGTGTCATCTACAAAAATTAGCCACTGTGGCTGCAGCCACTGTGCTTGTGACTCCCAGTTCCAGATTATTTATAAAAATATCGAACAAAAGAGGTCCTAAAAGAGGTCCTAAAACAAACCCTTGTGGAGCTCCACCGGTAACATTTTCCCAGTCTGATGACATTCCCTGTACCACCACCCTCTGGGTTCTTCTGGTCAACCATTGTAATATACCTCCACTGATACCCGCTTTCTTACTTCCAGTACAAGAGGGCACATGTTCATGCAATCTTATGACAGCCGGCAAAATTCCAGCCAATTGTCCCACTGTTTTCTCAATATATAATAAACCGATTGATAAATGGTATTGAAATGGTAATAATAAAGTGGCTATTTTTCTTTTGTTCAGGCAAGCGAAGCTGAGCACGGAGCTGAGTTGTCCGGGGAGCTGAATCTGGCAAAGTCTGGTCACAACGGCAGCGGCCTGGGCAAGACAATGAGAGCCATCTCCAAAACCATGAAGAAGAAAATGGCCAGAAAATACATCAAAGCTCTGTCGGAGGAGATGGTAAGAGCCAAGGCTGAGGTTCACAGTGAAGGACTGGCTCTATTCCTCAATAAGGAATCCCATCAGAATTCCTGTTTCCCTGAATTTCCCGTACAAAATATAGTTTGGGACATAACACGTGAACGCAACTGCCAGGATGGTGGAAGGCAAACCAGATGGACCTCGGTCTTCTTTCGCCAGTAGATTCTTATGTTCTTATGTTCCTATTGACCCACAAAGGCAAAATATTGATGTTATTCCTTGTGTCGATTCACACAAGGGAAACTCTGACAATCTGATACCCATATTCTTTCACGAATGCCACCCTTGCTCACCCCTGCCCCCCGCCCCGCCCCGGCCCGTCTCCCTGACCCAAAAAACCACGCAGGAAACTGACGATAAAGTAGTATACGGTCAGTTTCCTCATTGGGGAATGGTAAAAATAATAATCCTTGCATTTGGTACAGGGCCTTGCCACGAGAAGTCTCAAAGGGCTTCACAGAATACACTGTAAAATAATAATAATATTCCTTGCATTTGGTATAGCGCTTTTCACGTCTTCGAGAGGTCTCAAAGCGCTTCACAGAATATACTGTAAAGTGAAATGACTGTATATTTGTGGGCGAAATGCGTCAGCCAATTCCACACAGTAACATCCCCACAAACGGTTGTGGATTGAAGTGACCAATTTATTAATTTTTTTTGAAGAATTATTATCAGGCATGTGTGTGGAGCAAGGAAACTTGCCCAAGGTTTTGCCTTGCTGGGAGCCGAACCCAGGTCTCTCGCTTGCGAGGCGCGGGCTCTAACCGCTGAGCTACAGGACTCCACAAGTGAATTGACTTGTGAATTGACTTTATATTTTGTACGTCGTAAGTCTGAAAACATCCGGAAAACATCACACTTCGGATGCCCATACACTAATTCCCCTTTCCCTCATTGCTGATATTGTGGTTGTTTTGTTAAGACGCCAACTACTTGCTTTTCAGTACGAGGGGCCGGAGGGAGAACATTCCGGTCAGGCCTTGGGAGAACATGAGCCTGTGGAGGGAGCACATGGTGAGGGGATGTGTCTGACATCCTGCGAGTCCGTCGAGAGTCTCTACAGCCTCAACAGCGGGCAGAGCTCCTCCAGTAAGTGACCTGCCGTGAGAATAGCAACAACAACAATATGCATTTATTTAGTGCTTCACAGTGGCGGAGTCTGACCCCCGAGTCAGGGGAAAGGGAGGGAGGGAGGGAGGGAGGGAGGGGGTGACTGTAAGCACGATCAAGAATGAAGGTCTTAAGGTGGGATTTGGAGGGAGGGAGGGGGGAGGGGGGAGGGAGGAAGGGAGAAGGGGGGGGAGAGAGAGAGAGGGGGAGAGGGGGCAAGGCAGAGGGATTGAGGGAGAGAGTTCCAGAGCTTCGGGGCGTAGTGGCTGAAAGTGCGGCCCCTGATGGTGGAGCGGAGAAGGCGAGGGATGAGCAGGAGACCGGAGCCAGCCCGAGCGGGGGTAGCGGGTGGTGGATTGGGATGGGTGGGGGGGGGGGGGCAGCAAATCGGAGAGGTAGGGAGGTGTGAGGGCATGAAGGGATAACCCATAACCCAGCCGCACAGGAATTTTTCAGACAACTTGCCTTTTGTATTGGGTTAATAGTTTTCCCCTCATCAGGAGCCCTGGGATTTGCACCCAAACTGGGGGTTGGAATCAAGAGGGAGGTGGAGGGGCGAGTGGGGGCATGAGGGTTATATCTAAAATATAAAAAAAACCTACAAACGGCAATATAAGTGAATTTTGCCGACTTTGTATCATTTAGCTCATTCTACATCTTTTGCGTGCGACTGTATTTTTATATATATATTTTATGTATACATTTTCCCTTTTAACGTCTCTAATCGGAGTCATAAACGTATTAAACTCCCTCCCCTGACTCCACCCGCCGCCCCCCCCCTTCCCCCTTCCCCCTTCAGTGGGAACTTTGTTCCATTCCCAGACTGGAAATTACCCTGGGATCAGCGTGATGGATTTCCAGTTCCGGGAGGGAATCACCGTTGGCCGTTTCGAAGCCTGTGGTCGCTGAGTAATAATAATAATAATAATAATAATAATAATCCTTGCGTTTGATATGGCGCCTCATCGCGTCTTCAAGACGTCTCAAAGCGCTTCACGGGATAAGTGAAGGGACTATCTATTTTGTGGACGACATTGGGCCCAGCCGTGCCCACGCAAACAGTCGCGGGTTGGAGTGAGCTGGTGGGTAACTTTCAGACGCTCCTGTAAATCTCGCCTCTTTTAGCAGCGCCTGGGCTTTGTCTCGTCTCCCAAGCAGGTGGTATCACGAGCGGATCGGACGCAGCAAGTAACCGTGACAGTATCAGGCTGGAGGAAGAGCCACCGTTGTACGCTGGCCCTTTCTGTGGCCGGGCCAAGGTCCACACTGACTTCACTCCGAGCCCCTACGACACCGATTCCTTCAAGCTCAAGGTCAGGCCATTTCTCTCTCTCTCTCGTTTTCTCTCTCTCGTTTTCTCTCTCTCTCTCGTTCACTCGCTGTTTCAAACTTGGCACCCCCACCACCACCGCCGCCTCCCCCACATGACCCTCTTAGGTACGTAGGAACGGGAGGTAGGCCATTCAGCCCCTCCAGCCTGTTCCGTCATTCTACAGGGTGACCAAAAAGGTTGTGATGTCATTTATTTGAATAATATAATTATCAGCATTTCTTCAAGACTTATTTGACATTACTTTTTGGTCACCACTGTGGTAGATCCTGGCTGGTCTGTACCTCAACTCCAATTACCCGCCTTTGCCCCGTATCCCCTAATACCCTGACCGAACAAATATCTATCCACCTCAGTCTTGAAAATTTGAATGGATCCAGCCATAATCCACAGCCTTTTGGGGGAGGAAGAGAGTTCCATGTTTACGCTACCCTTTTGCGTGGATCGAGTGACCAAATTATTATTATTATTATTATTTTTGGAAGGGGTTATTACCCCCAGAAAGCGATAAGTTTTCAACAATCAGGTTCCTACTTACTGCTTGTTAAACAGAGGCGTGTGGCGTAAGGAAACTTGCCCAACGATTCGCCTTGCCTGGGAATCGAACCCAGATCCTCTCGTTTGTGGGGCGAGTGCTCTAACCACTGAGTTACAGGACTACTTTAATCCCTTGATAAATTGTTCATTTGCTACTTGGCTGTTTGAGGGCCCCATAAGGAAAAGACCAAGTATGCGAGAGATTCCCTGAGAAGCAATTTCAATGTTTATCGGTACTACAAAAACATATCATGATAAAAACAATCAATAGGCAAAATAATGGAGATGCTAGAAATTAAAGCAGAAATTGCTGGGAACACTCAGCAGGTCAGGCAGCATCTATGGAGAGCGGCTCTGATGACAGGTCATTGATTGACATTGAAACGTTAACATAACACGTGGAGTGGCTACATTTTGAAAAACAAATCCGGGGATATGTAGATTGAAAAAAGTTGAACTCGCCGCAATCTCTGCTGCCGACAGTACTGGAGAAGAGTTGGGATTAATGGCTCTATTTCTCTGATGAGTGTATGTGTTTTAGAATGTTATCGTTCTTGCTCAGTTGGTCGCTGAACTCAGACGGGGCAAATTTGGCCCCAGGGACACAATATACCTCTGACCGCCATAGGCGGGCGGGCCTTCAGCCACTCTGCCCTCACCCTCTGGAAATCCATCCCACAGTTCCTCCGCCTCGCCCCCCCCTCCCTTGCCTCTTTCAAGACCTGTCTCAAGAACCGCCTCTTTACAATCCATCACCCCCTGCCCTCCACCGTCCCCGATCCCAACCCTCAGCTCAGGTCCGAAACACTGCATACTGATTGTCCAGCACCTTGGAACGTGCTCCCAAAGTGAAAGGCACTATACAAATGTTGTTGTTGTTGTTGTTGTTGTTGTTGACTGACTGTCCCCTGAAATCACAGAGGGATGCTCACCCTACTATAAAGTGGAGTGGCTGTGGGTGTGTGTGTGTGGTGTGTTTTGTGGGCGGACGCAGTATTATTGGTTTGGTTCTGGTTTCTCAATTGCTGCTCTTTCAGAAAGGGGACGTGATCGAAATCATCAGCAAGCCCACGATGGGCACCTGGACCGGAATGCTGAACAACAAAGTGGGGAACTTCAAGTTCATTTACGTCGATATTCTTCCTGATGAAGTGACTGCGCCCAAGAAAATCAGGGCCCGAAGGAAAAGCAAGAGGGTCAAGCCCACAACCCTACAGGAACTCCTGGAGAGAATCCACCTCCAGGTGAGCGCAGTCACCCGGTCCCTAATCTCCCCCCCCCCCACCCCGTCTTATCCCGCGAGGCTTATCTTGTAATGTGGAGTTCCTTAGAGTAGTGATTAGAGCTCTCGCCTTGCAAGCCAGAGGACCCGGGTTCGATTCCCGGGCGGGGAGGGGCAGGGGCGAAACCTTAGGCGAGTTTCCTTTACTCCACACACACTTACACCTCTGTTAACCGGCAGTAAGTAGGAACGCGGTTGTTAGTCGATGATGCAGGCGTCTCAAAGCGCTTCACAGAGTAAATTGTAAAGTGACTGTACTATTTGAGGGGCGAAACTCGGCAGCCAATTGAGCCCAGCAGCGTTCCCACAAACGTTCGTGATAAAGACATTTTAGATCACTATTTAATCTCCCTTAACTCCTCCAACCCTTCCCCGCCACCCACCCTTCCTGCATCCCCCATCGCCCCTGGAAAAAAATCCCCCTCCATACCTTCTCCGCTGCCTTGGGGGCATCTGAACTACCCCTCTGGCCCTCCTCCTGCAATGACCTGCTTACTCCGCGCACCTTTGCTTAGCCATCAGCAAGTAGGAACCCGGTTGTTAGTCGATCGCTTTTTGCAGCGTGATAATAATAATCCCTTCAAATAAATAAATGAAAATAATAATGCGGTCACTTCAATCCACGACCGTTTGTGGGACGCTGCTGTGCGTGGGACACTGCTGCCGTGTTTCGCCCACAAAATATACAGTCAAGTCACTTTACAGTGTATCCTGGGATGAAGCGCTTTGAGATGTCTCGAAGACGTGATAAGGCGCTGTATAAGGCGTGTGGAGTCCTGTAGCTCAGTGGTTAGAGCACTCGCTTTGCAAGTGAGAGACCTGAGTTCAATTCCAGGCAGAAGGCGAAACCTTGGGCAAGTTTCCTTACTCCACACAGAGCCTAATAATAATCCCTCCAAAACCAAAATAATAATAAATTGGTCATTTTCAATCTACGACTGTTTGTGGGACATTGCTGTGCGCAATTGGCTGCCGCGTTCGCCCATAAATATATACAGTCAATTCACTTTACAGTGTGTTCTGTGAAGCGCTTTGGGACGTCCTCCCGACGTGAAAAGCGCTATATCAAATGCAAGGGTTATTATTATTATATGAAATGCAAGGATTATTATTCATTATCACTGATTGTCGTGTGTCTCTGTGTAGGATCTTCACTCCACTTTGCTCCTGAATGGTTACCAGACTCTGGATGACTTCAAAGACCTGAAGGAGAGTCATCTCATTGAACTGAATATCACAGACCCGGACCACAGAGCCAGGCTTCTGATTGCAGCTGACCTGCTCTCTGAGTGTGATGGTAAGTACTGCATCATGTAGTCCCGTAGCTTGGTGGTTAGAGCGCTCGCCTCTCAAGCGAGGGGACCCAGGTCGATTCCCGGGCAGGGCAAAACCTTAAGCAAGTTTCCTTACTCCACCCACCTCTGTTTACCCGGCAGTAAGTAGGAACCCGGTTGTTCAGCAATTGGCAGATCGCTTTCCAGGGGTAATAATCCCTCCAGAACAAAAAATTTGGTCACTAACTCCACGACTGTTTGTGGGACACTGCTGTGCGCTGTGGCTGCTGTGTTTCGCCCAGAAAAATGTCAATTCACTTGACGGTATATTCTGTGAAGCGCTTTGAGACGTCTCGAAGCGCTCTGAGATGCTGTCCAGCAGTGGAGGGCGCTATATAAATCCAAGTTGTTGTTGATAAGGCGCTGTAATCCAATGCAAGGATTATTACTATTATTCCAGGAAAGAAAGGATGGAAAACAGAAAGAGGGAGAAAGATATTAAAAGAAAGAATGAGAGAAAGAAGGGATAGAAATTGGTGGAAAGAGAGAACGAAAGAGAAAGAGAGAGAAAGGAAGAGCATTTTCAAAGCATCTATGATGTCGATATGTCTCAAAGTGCTGTCAAGTGACTGTTTTGTAAGGGAATTATCAAAAGAATGGATTCTGGGGCGTGGACAAGCAATGGAGCATGTAACTGGTTCCTTAGATGTGTGTTCCCTCAATGACCTAACCTTTCGCCGAACAGATCGATTTCAAGATCCCTTCACTCGTTTTCAATCCCTTCTTGCCCTTGCACCTCCCTCCCTCTCCGACCTACTTACCTCCCCAACCCACAACCCGCTGCTTCTTTTTGACCGGCTCCGGCCTCCTGCATGTCCCTCGCACCCTCCATTAAACCATCTGCGGCCGTGCTTTTAGCCACTGCGCCCCAAAACTCTGGAACACTCTCCCTCTATCCTTCCGCCTCGCCCCTTCCTTCCCCATCTTCAGGTTGCCCCTCAAGACCTTCCTCTTCGACCGTGCCTACGGTCACCTCTCACCGCCCCCCACCCCCCCTGCCCCCGGCTCTGAGTCAGGCTCCGCCACTGGCAAGCGCTCTGGGACGCTGCCCTGCGTGAATGAGGGGGCACTGTGTAAATGCAAGTTGTTGTTGTTGTTGACCTCCCCACCCAGTCTTCCATCCCTACCCCATTATCATCATCATCAGGATAAAGTCAAATGGATCAAAACAAAATGGCGCTTGTGAAAAGCGCTGAGCGAATAGTTAAACCCTCTCTCGTTAATCTCTGGAACCAAAGAGCTCATAGCTTTGCAGGTTTACAGAAATCCTGATCCCGACAGCACATTCCTCAACAAAAGTATTTGGGGATTTGCGACGGGCTTTAAACCTGGGACATTTTTCGGAACATGACAATAAGACAATTTAGCGTTTGTAGACTTGGTATTACACAGGTACACACACACACACACACACGCGCGCACACACGCGCGCACACACACCTGCTCTTTAAACCACTGAGGTCACAGTCTGGCCACATCGTGGAGTCAGGCATCAGAAAGCCACAGTGGATTTCCAATGATTGTTAAATATTGAAATAGATGTTTAATCTCTTGTTATTGATAATAATCCTCGTATTTCAGACAGCGCTTACAGGGTCAAAGTCTCAAAGGGAATTGCAGTCGAATTGCTGGAGTCCTGAGGCTCAGTGGTTAGAGCACTCGCCTCGCAAGCGAGAGGACCCGGGTTCGATTCCCGGGCAGGGGGCGAAATGTTGGGCAAGTTTCCTTACTCCACACACACACACGCCTTGTTCACCTCGCAGCAAGTAGGAACCCGGTTGTTATTTGATTGATAGGTCGCTTTTTCGGGGGTAATAATCCCTTCCAAAGGCAAACCAAAAAAATGTGTGTTTCGCCCACACAGAGAGAGAGTGAGAGAGACAGAGAGAGAGTGAGAGAGACAGAGAGAGAGTGAGTGTGAGAGACAGACAGACAGACAGACAGAGAGAGAGAGTGTGAGAGACAGAGAGAGTGAGTGTGAGAGACAGACAGAGAGAGTGAGTGTGAGAGACAGAGAGAGTGAGTGTGAGAGACAGACAGAGAGAGAGTGAGTGTGAGAGACAGAGAGAGTGAGTGTGAGAGACAGACAGAGAGAGAGTGAGTGTGAGAGACAGAGAGAGTGAGTGTGAGAGACAGACAGAGAGAGAGTGAGTGTGAGAGACAGAGTGAGTGTGAGAGACAGAGAGAGTGTGAGTGTGAGAGACAGAGAGAGTGTGAGTGTGAGAGACAGAGAGAGTGTGAGTGTGAGAGACAGACAGAGAGAGAGTGAGTGTGAGAGACAGAGAGTGTGAGTGTGAGAGAGACAGAGAGAGTGTGAGTGTGAGAGACAGAGAGTGAGTGTGAGAGACAGAGAGAGAGTGAGTGTGAGAGACAGAGAGAGTGAGTGTGATAGACAGAGAGATTGAGTGTGAGAGACAGAGAGAGTGAGTGTGAGAGACAGAGAGTGAGTGTGAGAGACAGAGAGAGAGAGTGAGTGTGAGAGATAGAGAGAGTGAGTGTGAGAGAGAGACAGAGAGAGTGTTAGAGAGAGAGTGAGTGTGAGAGACGGAGAGAGTGAGTGTGAGAGACAGAGAGAGTGAGTGTGAGAGACAGAGAGAGTGAGTGTGAGAGACAGACAGCGAGAGAGTGAGTGTGAGAGACAGCGAGAGAGTGAGTGTGAGAGACAGAGAGAGTGAGTGTGAGAGAGAGACAGAGAGAGAGTGAGTGTGAGAGACAGAGAGTGAGTGTGAGAGACAGAGAGTGAGTGTGAGAGACAGAGAGAGAGAGAGACAGAGAGTGAGTGTGAGAGACAGAGAGAGAGAGAGAGACAGAGAGAGTGAGTGTGAGTTAGAGAGAGAGAGTGTTAGAGAGAGAGAGTGAGTGTGAGAGACAGAGAGAGTGAGTGTGAGAGACAGAGAGAGTGAGTGTGAGAGACAGACAGAGAGAGAGTGAGTGTGAGAGACAGAGAGAGTGAGTGTGAGAGACAGAGAGAGTGAGTGTGAGAGACAGAGAGAGTGAGTGTGAGAGACAGAGAGTGAGTGTGAGAGACAGAGAGAGAGAGACAGAGAGAGTGAGTGTGAGAGTTAGAGAGAGAGTGTTAGAGAGAGAGAGTGAGTGTGAGAGACAGACAGAGAGAGAGTGAGTGTGAGAGACAGAGAGAGTGAGTGTGAGAGACAGAGAGAGTGAGTGTGAGAGACAGAGAGAGTGAGTGTGAGAGACAGACAGAGAGAGAGTGAGTGTGAGAGACAGAGAGAGTGAGTGTGAGAGACAGAGAGAGTGTGAGAGACAGACAGAGAGAGAGTGAGTGTGAGAGACAGAGAGAGTGAGTGTGAGAGACAGAGAGAGTGAGTGTGAGAGACAGAGAGAGTGAGTGTGAGAGACAGAGAGTGAGTGTGAGAGACAGAGAGAGAGAGACAGAGAGAGTGAGTGTGAGAGTTAGAGAGAGAGTGTTAGAGAGAGAGAGTGAGTGTGAGAGACAGACAGAGAGAGAGTGAGTGTGAGAGACAGAGAGAGTGAGTGTGAGAGACAGACAGAGAGAGAGTGAGTGTGAGAGACAGAGAGAGTGAGTGTGAGAGAGAGAGAGAGAGTGAGTGTGAGAGACAGAGAGAGTGAGTGTGAGAGACAGACAGAGAGAGTGAGTGTGAGAGACAGAGAGAGTGAGTGTGAGAGACAGAGAGAGTGAGTGTGAGAGACAGAGAGAGTGAGTGTGAGAGACAGAGTGAGTGTGAGAGAGAGTGAGTGTGAGAGAGAGAGAGAGTGTTAGAGAGAGAG